TTCTTTGGTACAGAGAAGCTTGACTGTGAATATAGCAACTTGGCAAAATTGTTAACTCCTTTCAGCTGTTGTTTGGGTTGTATGCCTAATTGAGTCTCCAGCCATGATCAGTACAAGGTGGTGATGGCATTTATAAGTTAGTTGATACCAGTAAAATCTGTTTGTTTTCCCAAGCTTGTTTCAAGCTTTAGTATATTACCTGAAACTAAACTCCTTGATATGTTCAAGATGTGTAGTTCCAAAATCGGATAAATGTAGTTTACTTTTGAAGAGATTTATCGAAGATAGTCTTTTTTAGTGAAATTGCTTTCATAAGCCAATAAATACTTTGTTTATTTGAAGTATCTGTTCATGGAATTGTTCCCTCTTAGCAGACAAGAACAGATCTGAGAGCAATAAATGTTTAGGTGCACAGGCATCAGTCTGTTCCATGTGTTGATTCTACATTAGTATAGAACTAAGAGTCTTCTACAGTGTAACTATAGAAAGTGAGGCTTGAAACAGGAAAATTGTGGGAATGCTTGTACTCCTCTATTCCATTTGTAGTTGTGCTGTTAGGCAGCTTCTTAAGAGACATTTAGGTTTTCTTGTCAGATAATAGAATTGGGTGCAAGAAGAGTCTCCCCTCAAATTGTGAGATTGCTATAGATCCTAAAACTCCTCCTTTTTCTTCTTTTCCTCGTTTAGTATTAATGTAACATAAATTTCTAAATGCCTCTATTAGCACTGTTTATTCAGTCATTTGTCTTAGTGGCTCTTTGGAAATTCCCACCATTACTTTATTTTTTTCAATGGCTTAGCTAATTAAGAGTGATTTTTACCATGTTTGATCTTTTTAGTAAGTGGAAACAAGTGAGAGACATTGTTCTAAAGCTACTGTTTGGGACTCCTCCTTAGCTGCTGTCTTCTTAGTGTCTAAAACACATTTTGAGTTTCACTGCTGTGCTATGTGTCTACTGGTGATGCTTGTTTGTTGTTTCATTGTGTGCTCAAGGCTTGGAGAGATTTTTCAGTTGCAGTGATTTATGTTTTAGAAGTGTAATGGATGGAAAGGAGGAAGTCAGATTATGAAAGTTTTTAGTGATGTTATATTAAAAAAAAAGAGCCTGAGAAACTATTCAGAAATTCAACATATTTAATTGGAATTTATTCTTTCTGAATGCTTGTAAAAAGCAGGCTATGGTTAGGTAACTGTTAGTTTTGGTATTAAATTATTAAGGTTGTACACTAAGCAGCTTTCTGATTGAAAATCTGAATGAAAAAATATCATAAAATTACAGTGTGATTTGTGCAGGGGACATTGCACCCAGAAGATGGTATTAGTTCACTGGGAATTTGAAAGCATGCTTTGGATATCCATGTTATTGATAAAGAACTGAATGTTCTGACTATGTTTCTGACTATGTTGAAGCTTTGTGTTCCTGGAAGAAGTTTTTCCTGATGTGAAACAATCTTATATGGGTGTTTTGGGGAATTTTTTTTTTTTTTTTGGCTATAGGTTTGGGGGTTTTTGGTTTGTTTATTCTCCCCCACCACTTTTATAGCCCAGGCTTGTGAGAGGGCTGCATAGTTTGAATTTGTGCATTTCAACCAAATCTACAATATACCTCCACTGCTGCCACTTGTTCAGTTAGCTCTGTGGGGATAAAAATAAAAATGAAAGCTGCTTAATACTGGTCTGTGTTGAGGTGAATAGGCTTTAGATGGTTTTTGAAAGATTGCAAGTGATGATATGGGAAAACCTTTGCAGTGCTGCTTCCGAAATGGAGAGCTGTGTGAAGAAAGATGACATTAAATGTGCCAGCTGTTTACTTTGACTGGCTTTTAGGTTTGAAGTTGTCTTGAGCACTTGAGAAAATTGCTTGTATGAACTTGTCTGCTAGATTTCTGTTCTCTGGCCTTTACAGAAATTAATTTAAAATAAAGAAATTATGTGCCGCAATGGTGTCACTTTCCAAAAGAAATTAACGTATTTGCACAGTAGTTTTAACAGTAAAAATAATTCTTGATGTGATAGAAATAGTGTAGCACAGAATAGCTGAGATTGGAAGGGACCTTTGGGGCACATCTGGTCCACCTCCTGTTCAAAGCAGTCAGCTAGAGCAGGTTGCTCAGGACCACATCCAGCCTAGTTTTGAATATCTCTAAGGATCCACAACCTGCCTGGGCAAACTATTCCAGTGTTGGACTACCCTTACAGTAAGAAAGGTTGAGATTTTTCTTCTCCCCCCCCCCTTTTCTTCTGAAGTTTAAATGGAACTTCCTGTGTCTCAGTTTGTGCCCATTGTATCTTGTCCTTCCACTGGGCACCGCTGAGAAGAGTGAAGAGTCTGGCTCTGTCATCTTTCCTCCTTTCCATCAGATATTCACACACAGTAAGATTTCCAAACTTCCAGCCTTCTCTGAACCAAGCTAAACAATCCCTGCTCTCTCAGCCTCCCCTAATATATCCGATGCTCCAATCTTTAACCGTCTTTGTGGCCCTTCACAGGTCTCACTCTGGTATAATCATATCTTGTACTGGGGAGTGCAGAAATGGGTGCAGCAGTGCAGATCTAGTCTCCTCAGTGCTGAGTAGAGGGGTAGGATCTCCTCCTTTGACCTTCTGGCAATGCTCTTCCTAATGCAGCCCAGGATACTGTTGCTGTTCTTTGCCATAATGGCACATTGGTGTCTTAGGTTCACCTGGATGACAAGGACCTCTCTTGTGAGAGGCCACTTGTGAGCCAGTCAGTCCACAGCTTGTACTGGTATATGGTGCTACTTCTCTACAGGTGCAGGACTTTGTATTTGCCTTCATTGAATTTAATGAAATTTCCGTTGACCCAATTCTCCAGACTACCAAGGTCCTTGTGAATGGCAGCACAAACAACTAGTATATTGACTACTCCTGCCTGTTGTGTGTCATCGGCAAACTTGTTGAGGGTGTGTTTTGCTCCGTTGTCAGGGTTTAGTGAAGATACTAAACAGTGTTGGCCCTAGTATCAACTTCTTGAGTAGTGAGTGGCCTCCAGCTGGACTTCATGCCGTTGATTTCCTAGCCTCATACCTGTACTCTTGGACAATGTCTCTGTATTGCTCCTGAGTTGCTTGACCCTGCCTCTACCTCTTGTATGCTTCCTCTTCATGGTTGAGTTCCTTGTTCAGCTATGCAGTCTTCCTGCCACCTTTTCTTGCATTCTGGTGTGTGAGATGGATCCTTCTTGAACTTGGAGGAGGTAATCCTTGAAAATCAACCAACCCTCCTTGATCACTATTGTCTCTAGGACTGTTTCCCCTGGAATTCTTCCAAGCAGATCCCTGATCTTTCC